ATGCCCTGGCGCGTCTCTGTCCTTACCCTCCGTGACTTTTCAGCAGGGTTTGATGTGGATGTGCCTGCTCCATGCTTTGCCAAACAATCTCCTCTCGGTTCCCATGAGCCTGCTGCTTTCCCCGTCCTTGGCCACTCCCCTCAGCATCTCAGAAGGCTTCTTCTCCCCACCAAGCCTCTAGACGATAATAATAGTGTTTGGTAAATGCTCTATAATCACTTCCTCCATTCATGGTGTTGTTCCTCTAACACACAGCTAACTTCTTCCTTTTTCTGGTGTTTTCTGTTGCTGTGTCCTCTCCTAGGAGCTATTTTTTTCAAATCCTTAAGAAGGTGGCTTCCTTTTCTGCTAAGAAGTAGGAATCATTTACAAACAGTTCTTAGTTTTAGTAGTAGCTGTGGGTTAGGCATGAGGCACAGGAAAGAGCTGAGACCTCACTAGGGTTATGCTATGGTTCGTGTGTAGATGTACCCCACCATGGGGTCACGGGGCTTCTTCAGAGGTGGCTGAATCAGAGTATGTGATGCTGGGATTAAGGATGTGTCATTAGTAAATCGTTCCATTGATTGGTTTGGCATAGTTCTGGCAGGGATCAAGAGTGAAAGTGCTGCACCCACTCTAGGGCAGGTAGTCTGCATAACATAAGGGACAGAAAGAGTTTGTCTCCTCCCTCATTGCTCACTTTTGCTGTCTTCTGTGCTGTCTTCTGCTGCCGTGAATTAAAGTGCTGAACTAAGTTCCCTGCTGAGAGTAGTTGCCCCTCTGCCGTGTGCCACCCTGCCTTGGATCAAGCCGATGATGGACTGAAACCTCTACAAATTGTGAGCTAAGCAAACCTCTTCTTTAATTTTCGGAGTCAGGTCTTTTTGTCTCTGTAACAAGTAACTAAGATTCTTTGATCTCCCTTTCCATCTGTTTCCCTACCTTTCTAGCACTCCCCCAGTACACTGAGTCCTGTTACCAATTTAGTTTACTCATTATTTCTTTTTTTTATTTTAAAGACAAAAAAATAAAGACAAACAAAACAAAAACAATAAGAAAGTTACAAAACTTCAAAACAAGATAGTAATTAACAGTGGTTGTTCTATTACATATTGTTATCTTCAAAGATGTTGCTCAGATTACCAGATGTAAGAATGCAAGATTGACCCGGAGGGACGTCAGGCTGTGAGAGCGGCGCGGGGTTTTGGCGCTGAGCCGGAGTCCGCCGGGAGGTGGCCGCGCCGCGGGTTCAGCCAGGCCCCAGCGCTGCCATCATGGCCTGCCGGACCCTGCGGGCTGAGACGCAGAGCCGGGCCAAGGATGACATCAAGAAGGTGATGGCTGGCAACCATCGAGGAGGTCTGGCGATGGGAGAAGCGCTGGGTGGCTGTTGGCAACACTTCCCTTCCTGTCTACAAGTGGGTGCCCGTGCTGGATCCCCCAGGAGGAGGAGCAACGGTGGGCAGGTGCCGGAGCAGAGAGATCCCATGGCCGAGAGCGGCGGGGCAGGGGCACCAGTCCCCGAGCAGGTGGCCCGCTCATCCTGCTGGATCTTCATGATGAGAAAGGGAGCAGAGTTTCCGTTCTGAAGGCTCCCTGCAGAAGGGCCCCAGCCCTGGGGGCACGCCCCAGCCCGGCCGCCCCGTGTTACCTGCTGGACCCCCAGAAGGGTCACCGAGGAGGCTCAGCCCCCACCGCTGGGTCAAGAGAGAGAGCCCGTGGTCTTACCTGCGGCAGAACTGATGAGCCCCCAATGCTGACCAAGGACGAGCCTGTTCCAGAATTGCTGGAAGCTGAGGCCCCTGAAGCTTACCCCATCTTTGAGCCAGTGCCTGTCCCTGAGGCGGCCCAGGTTGACACAGAGGACTCCGAGAGCCCCGCCCCCCCCCTCGCAAGTGCATCTGCCCCAATGCCCCTGACCCCTGAGAAGCCAGCCTGCCTGTCCTGTCATCCCAGGGGCCTCTTTGGCTTTTTACAAATAAAGTCCCTTTTGTTAAAAAAAAAGATGCAAGATTCATCAAACAATTAAAGAGAATAAAAAAAATGTAAAAAACATTAGAAACAAGAGGGTAGGAATTAAACAATGGTTGTTGTATTTGCATATTGTCTTCAAATTAGTTGTTTAGATTACCAGATATAAACATGCAAAATTGTTCAAAAAATTTAAGCATTAACTGCTTCTTTCAATAAACCAATAGACATCAGCAGTACAGTTATCCCAGCTATCCGTGTATGTACATATTTTTTTTCTCATTTCTCTGATTCCAGTTGTTCCTTTGAGCAATTTCTTTCCCTTTCACGATATCTGTTGTACCTTTCGGGTTTTATATACTCTTTCAGGTTCTTACACTAGGGAGATAATACGATGTTTACACATGTGAATCTGATTTATTTCACTAGAGTATGGTCTCTAGTTGCATCCATTTACCTATAAAAGCCTCAGGTTTATCTTTATAGCTGAGTAATACTCCATTGTATAAAAATACCACATCTTTTAAAAAAAAGATGCAAGATTCATCAAACAATTAAAGAGAATTAAAAAAATGTAAAAAACATTAGAAACAAGAGGGTAGGAATTAAACAATGGTTTTTGTACCCATTCCTCAGTTGATGGGCATTTGGGTTGTTTTTAAGATTTAGCTATGACAAATTGCACTGCTGTAAACATGGGTGCACAGATATTGCAGTGGTATGATGTTTTCAGTTTTTCTGGAAAAATACCCAGAAAGGGAATAGCTGGGTTAAGTGGGACTTCTAATCCTATTTTTGTGAGAGATCTCCACACTGATTTCCACCATGGTTGTACCAGTCTATACTCCCACCAGCAGTGGAGAAGTGTTCCTTTTTCCCCACAGCCTCGCCAGCACTTGTTATTGGTTGATTTCTTGATGATAGCCATTCTTTCTGGGGTGAGATGGAATCTCAGTGTTGTTTTATTTCTATAATTGCTTTATTTCCATTTCATTATAACTGTAGTGTCGTCTATATCTGAGCTGTAGATGAGGGATTGAGTTTTTGGTTAGCTTTCCTTTTGGGACTAGGCTATGGTCTCTTAACATAGTTTTGTTCTTTATTACCTATAAGTGTACTAGACCTTTATAAGCAGATTTACAGTCATGGATATGTTCTGAGAAACGTATCATTAAGTGATTTCATCATTGTGCAGCATTATAGAGTATATGCATACAAACTGACGGCTATAAATGATGTCATTATGTGACATCATCTTAGAGGACCCCCATCATCTCTGAGGTCTACCAGTGATCAAATGTCATTATGTGACATGGCTGTATACTTCATAAAAGCATCTATTCCTACAGATTTAGACCTACAAGAGTAAAAGCATGTGTTCAGATTCTGATATGCGGCAAAATCTTAAAATCTTAACCATTCTTAAAGTCTCAATTCTAGCCTTGACTCTCTGTTATTTCCTAGTAACACATACTAATCTTTTTTGCCCTGATTTCCTGAGGCCCACATCCTTCATTTGGGCCACAGGAAGCAGAAAGTCATATTTGTTACTTAATTGCTCTGTGTACTGTAACGTCCTGGGGGAAGGGGGCCAGCAGAGACCACCAGGCTGGTGTAAAGGTGTGCCTGGGTGCAGGCAGACAGAAAGCGGAAAGACCCTCTGTGGGGAACAAAGACAAGCGTGCCCCTTTTACAGGGATGGAAAGAAGGCAGGGGACCTTAGGTGGGAAGATTATTAGTAAACATCTGTGGTCAGGGTTCTCTGGCAGTCTTGCACTGGGCAGAGTCCTTAAAGCATCCCATGTAAATTTTCAGGTGCCTCCAGATGTCCCCAGATGTCCCAGAACCTGCAAAATTGCTTGTCCTGTCTCACCTCCTTTTGACATCCTGTGCTTGCCAGTGACAGCTGAAGTGCTGAACTAAGTTCCCTGCTGAGAATAGTGCTTCTACTGGCAAGCAGCCTGGGGGCTGGTGGAGTCAAATTTGATTGGAGCCCTTACGTGTACCGCATATGACCAATGCCGGTTGATTGCGGCAGTGTCCTCAATTTTTGCAGTGTTGAAGAAGTGTCACTTTTTAAAGGACTGCTTACAGCAGAATACCTTTAAATTATTTTTACTAATGGAATTTTACTTATTTTTTAAAAAATAATTTAAAATTATTCGCATGAGGGCTGAGGTTATTGCTCAGTGGTAGAGTATGTGCTTAATATGTGTGAGAGGCTCTGGTTTGAACTCCAGCATCCCTCCAAAACATCTCATTTCATTCTTTTTAAAAGCAGTTTCAATTAATTATGATTATTATTTTCCTGCCTTTTTGTTATTTCTTTCTCAGTATTCATTTAGGAAAACTAATGTTATTATGTTCAAGTATAACACTCGAAGGTAGTATTTTCTGAAAGAAAGCTGTTATTTCCTGTACTTTATCTATAAAAGGTCATTTAGGAAAATTTAACCATTTTAAATGGTTTTAAACACAAAAAGTATTTTAGAGGACTTTATGATAAACGTTTTATGTTATTATATTAAAGTTGTTTTCATACTTGTATACAAAATGTTTCAAGATTTATCTGAAGAGCTGTCAATTTTTTAGTAGCTGTAGTTGTTTATGCTTCCTAATTGTGTGTTGAGCTTTCTAATTCTTACCAGAGCACTTTTCTCCTAGCAAAGCTTGAACATTAGTTTCCAATCAGCTAGGTTAATCTCTGATTTTATAATATAATTAAATTAAATCTGATCTGGTTACTTATTTGTTTAAACAATTAAACAAAGCCTTATTTTTTGTTTCACTGTGCTTGTGCAACTTCTGTATAATGAAATTTCAGCTGGTTATTCAGGCATCAGTACTTATCCTGAAGCTACTCAGAATATTTGAATTTAAAAATTGACCTTTTGGAATCAGTATTTCTTTCATCTGCCATTTTTGCTTAACAGAAATATTCTCTAAAAAGGAATTTAACTTCATTAATTTTCAAGAACTGCAGTGGTTATAAAATGTGTTTAGGGAAAAACGTCATTAAAAGCTAAAGACATTTCCTTTTGTTATAGAGGTACTTTCTGGTTGGGAGCAATCATGCAAAAACGAAGTATCGTGTCTTGAAAATTGATAGAACAGAACCGAAAGATTTGGTTGTAATTGATGATAGGGTAAGTATCTTTCAAATCTGACTATAAACAAACTTTTATATGTGTTCTCTAAAGGATGTGAATTAACCTATAGCTTTTAGTGACATTAATTTTTTATTATGCATCTATAATTACACTATATTTCTTGGTTTGCTAGAATTTCAATCTCTAATCTGATACTTGGAAATTACCGATGTTGAGGCGTATGCAAGAATTGTACTTTTTCTCAATTTGATTTCTTTTTGAAAGCACACTCTTCAGATAAGATAATGGATATATTTTCTTAGTTGACATTTTAAGTATATATTAAGTGTAGCTTAATATTACATCTACCAAAGAGATTATTTAGTACTGTGCTTTAATGTGAAGTTACCTGAAGTCAGGGAAGAATTCTGTGCTGTAGACTTTTTATTGCACTGCTAAAAATCTCCTCTTCTGAAATGTTAAGCTATTTTTATCCAGGAATACAGAGGGTTCATCCAGGTAACACAAAAACATGAAGCTGTAGTCAGATGTGAAATACAACATTGTGGTATTAAAAGGGCAGCTTTAGCTTTCGCAAATGAAAAGAACTTAATTTACCCTTTGGATTAAAGTTCCTATCTATGAGGGGCTGGGGATTTAGCTCAGCGGCACAGCACCTGCCTGACAAGCGCAAGGTCGTGAGTTCAATTCCTGGTACTGGAAAAAAACCGAAAAAACCCAAAAGTTCCTATCTATGAATATTTCTATGTCCACATGCATTCCTGGTTTCTCATGTATGTTAGTAACTTCAGTTTGGAACTCATTTTTGGTATTAATCTGTTTGAAAACTATTTTCTGTGTTGTAATAATTTTAGATAAATTATTTCTTACGGTTTTCTGCATTACTCTCTGGAAGTCCATTCCCCTACCTGTCTGCCTGCCTGCAATGGTTCTTGGCTTTTTTGGGGGGTGGGGGATGATTGCTTAGGAGCCCTTTGAGACACTAACAGCTAAAGATCTTCAATGCAAAAGTACAAACAGTATATCTAAAATTCTGTGTATACTTTTAAGAGATTCATAGACTTATTGAAATATGTGTGGCTCTCTTAAATTTCTAAATTCTCAATATAAGGTTTCAACAAAGTTTTTTAATATAGTAACATGTTCCAGTAATCAACCTTAATTGCAAATGTTAATGAATTTGTCGATCTTTGGAAATTGTAGCTTATTATTATTGGTTGCTTATGAAATAGCTAATAATTCTTATAGACAACTTAATTTTTAAGGGTAAATACCTTACAGATTGCATGTGCTTATTTTTAGCATGTATATACTCAACAAGAAGTACGGGAACTTCTCGGCCGCCTGGATCTTGGAAATAGAACAAAGATGGGACAGAAAGGGTCCTCCGGGTTATTTCAAGCCGTCACAGCATGTGGTGTTGTAGGTAAGAAATGTACTTCCTCTTGGCTATCTTTTTACCCCTCTTCCTAGAGTATTTAAAGAGAGTTTCTAAGGTAATATAGCTTTATAGTTATAACTTATCACCTCTGTCTTGTGTTGTTTAAAACTCCATTATCCACAGTGGTGGAGTAGGGCAGTGGGCTGGGTTGTTCTCCTGTATGGCTTCCTGAGGCTCCCACGGCTCACCAAGGCTTGCTGTCACTCTGCGTACAATATTGACGAAATACTTTCTACATGTCAACAACTAGTAGGTACTTGACTTATGTCTTCTGAATAGCACTTTTTTTTTGAGGTGGGGTCTCACTGTATGTTTTAGAGTGACCTTGAACTCACTGTGTAGCCCAGGCTGGCCTAGAACTCAGCAGTTCTCTTGCCTCAGCCTCCTGAATGCTGGGACTACAGGCATGTGCCACCACATCCAGCTCCAACAGTTTCTTTTTGAAGTATTTACTGAAACTGATTATATTCTGCTATATTTGAAGCCTTATTTGTTTGTTTCACTGTGATTTTGCAACTTCTGTATAACTCTTTTAGATCCTTTTTGGACCTTAGGTTGCTATCAGGGAAGGTCAAAGTGGGAGTGCATGAATGGCATCCTGTCCGTCTCCTGGCCTAGTAGTGGGCCTTCTGCTCAGTCTCGCCAAGTCCCTGGCGGTTAGGCATTGATTGGATATATGTTTGTGGGCTGGGTGGGTCTCTTTTATGTCATGTGAATTTATGTGTTTAAATTCAGTAAATTCCGTATGTGTCAAATTCTACTTGTCTTGCTTATATTTTAAATTAGAAAAGACTGAATTTAAGAAAAATTATGTCTTGAATACAGTAGATTTTAATTGAAATAATAGCTAATAGTTTATTTTTTAAGTGCTGATAGTTTAATTACAATTTTTTGATGGAAATTTCCTTAAGTGTATGTAATACTGAGCTATTTGCCAGATTTTATTATTAGAATTGAAATTTTAGCTGCTTGTAGTGGCACATGCCTGTAATCTCAGCACTCTGGGAGACTGGGGCAGAAAGATCTCAAGTTCCATCCCAGGCTGGGCAACTTAGACCCTGTCTCCTAAAAGGTATTGAGGGGGCTGTAGCTCAGTACAACAGCTTTAGGTTCAATTCCTACAACTGAGGAAAAAAAAAAAGAAGGAAAGAAAAGTAAAAAAAAAAAACGAAAAAAAGAAAGTTCTTTGATGATTTAAGTGTAAGACTTGAGCATCAGTTTTTGAACTGTGTAGAAACAGCCATCTTTGTATGTTGTCAAGCTCCACTAGGCTCTTTGCCTTTATTTTGAATGGCCCGTTGCCTACTTGTTTTTGCAGTAGGTTGGTTATTTCCATTGTTCTTGATGTATTTATCAGTATTCTTTGCATTTAGCAATATTCTTTGCCTAATGTTTAATTTGTTGTAACTAAGCTTGCAAAACTGTAAGCTTTCTTTGAACATACTGATAGTCAAGTTTCTAGCCAGGTATTTGCACACAGTTAGTAGTTGGTAAACTCTAGGTGAGGACTGAAGGTTCTTAGCAATGTTTTTTGTACTTGGAGGCCTCTGGTTTGAAATTGTTCTTTAACAGTGAAATCAAAGAAAGACCCACCGATAAGTGAAGTGACACGATAATGTATTTGATGCAGTTATTATTTTAGGCTTTTTAAATGGTCCAGTTTAACCATGTAAATAGAGTTTGGGATCAGTGAAGAGAGAACAAAGCTAATGAAAATCTGTTTTCCTAGTGCTATCTTAAAATATACTTGTTATGAGGAATACTGAAATTGTAAAACACAAAGTACTTGTTTTTGAGAAATGTATCATCTAATTGTCAAAATGATAACATGTGAAATGACCAGAATGATTGTCTTCTAAGTATTTTTTTTTGCTAACATTTAGCCTGCTTAATTTTGCTAACATTTAGCATGCTTAATTTGTGGATATTTTTGCTGGAATGTTTGGAACTGTAATCTTGTTAACCCATTATACAGTCTGAGAGTCTGAGTGCCGCACTCTGGGTGTCCAAAGCAGGAAGAGTACAAGTTCAAGCCCAACCTGGGCAGCTTAGTGAGTTAGAGAGACTTTCTCTCTCTCTCTCTTTTTTTTTTTTCCTGTACCGGGAACTGAACTCATGACCTCACGCTTGCCAGGCAGGCGTTGTGCCCCTGAGCTAAATCCCCAGCCCCTTTTTTTGTCTTTTTGAGACAGGGTCTTGCTATGCAGTTCAGGCTGGCCTTGAGCTCACTTTGTAGCCCAGGTTGGTCTCAACTCGCAATGATCCTCCTGCCTCAGCCACTCGAGTGCCAGGATTATAGGCATCCACCACCACACCTGGCTTGAGAGACTTCATCTCAAACTAAAAAAAAAATTAAAAAGTAAATGAAAAGGGCTGGTGATGTAGCTCAGTGAAAAGCTGCCAGATAACCCCTCAGCTGGTAACACGTGCACACACACACACACATCCGCACACACACAAAATCTAGAGCAGTGTTTCTCAAATACTTTTTGTAGTAAAGGACCAATCCTTCCTCCATATGTTGAAGACTAATGCATGGTGTATAACTTGTATGCAGATTGTATCAAATAGAAGTCAAACATATATTCAGTGATACCCAAACCAGTCTATGTCCTGTTGGGAACACTGATCGTTACACATGAAGTGACAATAATCTCACATTGCTCTGAAGTTTCTAAATCCTCATTCTCGATTTGTTTACTTGTCTTTAACTTCTTTACCTGGCTGCACCTGCCAGGAGAAGGAGCCTGCCACGCTGAAGTGGAGGGGTGTGTGCAAGCTACCGTGGTTTAAATGCCACAGACTTGCCCTCTCACCAAGAGTTAGTAGATTTTCGTAAATAAATATTTCTCCATTTGCTGTCTGCCCTTAGGACAGTTTCCAGAAACTTCCAGTGTTTTACCATTTTTATATTTTTCACCAGTTATGATAGTTTCCTTGGGGAAATGGTCTGTCTACCTCCTCAAATTGCCATTTCAGAAGCGTCGTCACCTTCCTCCTACCACCGAGGAAGTTAGTTTTAACTCCCAAAGCAAAAGTTGTAGGAGCCAAAAAGTTTTTGGTTTTGGCTTTTTCTTTACAGTTAGGGTAACTGCTGTGTTCCTGGGAACTTAATCTTACTAAACGTGCATGTGTATGGATCTTCCTTTAATCGCCAGCACAGAGCTTAGGCACTGTAGTGAGCTGACAGCACAGAACTTTCCTTGGTGACTCTCTAATGCAGGTTGAGCATCTTTCAGCCAAACATTCAAAATGCTCCAAAATGAAACTTTCTGTGGACGAACAGGTCACGCCAGTGGAAGATTTCATACTGTAAAACTGTTTATGTACAAATTTATGAAAATAGTGTACAAAATTACTTTCATACTGTAAAACTGTTTATGCACAAATTTATTAAAAATAGTGTCCAAAATTACTTTCAAGATATGTGTCTAAGATATGTATGCATCATAAATTAATTTCATGTTTAAAGTATATCCCATCCCCAGACATCTCATTAGGTACATGTAAATATTTAAATTTTCTTTTTAAAATCCATGATCTAGAACATTTTCCCAAGCATTTTGGGTAAGGGATACTCAACCATTTTCATAAGAAGCTTAACTATCAGAAGTGATATTTGTAGAAGGTTGCATGTATAATTTACTGGAGATACAGATAGATAGGTAGATAGATAGATAGATAGATAGATAGATAGATAGATAGATGGATAGATAGATAGATAGATAGATAGATAGATAGATATAGACATACTTTCTTCCCCCAGCCCCCTACTTTTCTAGGAAGCAGTACCACCTCCCTCCTGCCCCTTACCTAGTTATTTGTAAAGTATCTTCCAGTGCACTGTGACCTATTCTTTAGCCATAGTTGGTTGGTCCAAGACTGAGCACTCAGCTGAAGTTGGTCAATCCAGCTGCTTTCCTAGAATTTTGGAATTGAACTTGATGTTTTAAAAAGTCAGGTTTTTCCTGGTGGACCTTCTGGGTGGAAAGGTTAGAGCTCGCAGCAGCTGTGTTTCCTGCCGTATGACAGAAGTAGAGGGATCTGGTCTGTGGAGAGAGCACACGGAGTAAATGTTCCAAGACACTGCATGTGCCTAGTCTCACATTTGCCCGTGACTGTCACGGATCACCTCGGTATCCTCAGTATAAATTCCTCTTTTTATTTTAAGCTGGCTCAAGTTGAGTTTTGACACTAATTACGAAGACTGTATGAAGTTTATTTTCCCCAAAATGTTTTCCTCAAACATTTATCCATTGACAAATTTTTTTATGAGAAGGAGGGAGGAGGAAGATTGTATGATCAGGGACTCCAGAAACCACCACGTCAAGAGTCACAGTGCATGCTAGCACAGCACTGAGAGGATCTGACGGTTTATGTGGATTGTTTAAGCTTCTTCAGGCCAGTATTTCTTTAAATCATTTGCTCACAGCCACTCTTCCCCCGACTGAACAGTTCAGTTGTATTTCATTGAGAACACGTTAGAGTAGATGTCCCACTAGGTATTTAAATCTTGTCTTCAAGTGAAACCAGGCCACCGTTCAACTGTGTGTCTTACCTGCATTCTTTTAGTTCATTTATTGAATTGTGCTTTGATGAGGGAAACAGCCCTAACATGTCCTCCAGTGTGCTGGAGAATTCTCCTGAGGTGTTGTTCTGTATCACAGACCATTTTATGAGGGCCCGGAGTTTCTCCCAGTTTCCAGAACTAGGATAGCTTCTGCAAGTAACTAGTTTGGTTTTTATCTTTCAGCCACTATGTGTGGTGTAATTCAATGTGTATAGCAAATGCTAGTAGTATGTATCATTGTATATTACTTTTATTCTTGGCTTCATGTTATACCTTGTAACATTATTTTCCTTTACTGTAATCTTCTTTTTCATTTTTATCCATCCTATGTGTGTGTGAGTAAAATTGTAGCAGAAATGTAAAATGTATCATCTTAATAATTTTCCCTGTACAGTTCATCAGTGGTAACTGTGTACCTTGTGTGTTGCATATATCTAGAATTTTTCATCTATGCAGCGTTAAAAGTCTATATAAGTTGAACAACTCCCTTAATCTTGTATATGTTTTTATTTAAGGTACCTCAATCCTATCTGTAATGAGATTAAAGGAATTAATGAATTACAAAATTTTTAGAGTAATATTTTTAAGTGGGATAAATGACAGCAATTAACAATCTGAGCCAACTCAAAATCTTTATTAGTCTAAATTATAGAAATAAAGTAGCAAATGTGTGAAAAGTATTTGGCTGTTTAAATATGTACCTAAAAACATTACTAAATTTATAAAGCATTATATTTATTTTTCTTTTTTATTGCACAGGTTTTGTCAGGTTTTTAGAGGGTTATTATATTGTGTTAATAACTAAAAGCAGAAAGATGGCAGATATTGGAGGCCATGCAATATATAAAATTGAAGACACAAATATGATCTATATACCCAATGATTCTGTAAGAATTACTCATCCTGATGAAGCTAGGTATGTACCTATACTTTGTATTTTTTGAATGTGATAAACCAATTAGGAAAAGAGTAGAACTGAAGGATTAGAAATGTTATATAAAAAGGCCAGATGTTGGCTCAGAATTGTGCAACTTTTGTTCAAGGCTACTAAAACTTTATTATAACAATTGATTCTGGCAAGAATTAGCAGTGGCTATAAAAGCCATTAAATATGAAGAGCAGAATATTCACACTGTAAACATTAAACTCCATAGATCTCTGCATTATTTAAAAAGAGAAGAAAGAATTTATGTAATTAAAAAAGTGGCAGATATGCCTAACTGCTGATCAAACTTACCATTACCAATCATGAGAGATTAACATTATTTGCCTGTTAATGTGAAGTAATGGGAAGGGCATAGATAATGCTTAGTAATTTTTTTTGTTAAAAGTACAGTATGGAGGGGCTGGGGATTTAGCTTAGCAGCACAGCGCCTGCCTGGCAAGCGTGAGGTCATGAGTTCGATTCCCAGTACGGGGGAAAAAAAAAAAGTATAGTATGGAAATTAGTATGGAGGTTTCTCAGAAATCTAAGATTAGAAATTCCATTTGATGCAGCTGTTTCCCTTCTAGGAATCTTCCCAAAAGAGTTAAAGACAGCGTATTACAGTGTTGTATGCACTTCCATGTTTATAGCAGCACGGTTGGGAATAGCTAACTCTCGGAAGCCGTTTATATGCCCATCACAGAGAAGGGATAAAGAAAATGTGTTTGTACACAGCAGAGCACCACTCCACCATGAAGGGTAAACTGGAGTCACTTGTAGGAAGTTGGGGGCACCGTGTGACCATCATGTTAAATGAGATAAATCAGACTCGCAAGTTAAAATCTGGCATGGTCTCCCATGTATGAGAAACCCAAGATATAAATAAAGAGCAAAATAAAAGGTCCGCACTAGGAAGTAAGGAGGTAGATGTTTCTCAAACAAGGGATGGAGGAGAGGAGGGAACGGAAGAGAAAAGCAGGTCAGACGTGTGGTGTGCACGCACCGGCTCCACATATGGGACGTAAACAGCAGGCGCTGCAGACGTGCTCGAAGAAAACAACTAAATGATGTGCCATACAGAAAATATTTCACTTAAATAATTTGCAGGGCAGCTGGCCTGGACACTTTAAAAAGGTCCACATCGTGCAAGACAGGGAAAAGAATAATTCTGTTAGATTTTAGAACAATCATGACAGATGCAGCATGTGAATTTCAGGTAGACCTGGTCTACGTGTGTGTGTGCATGCACACACCTGCAGAGAGCTAGGAGGGCCTTTCCGGGGGCAGTTTGAGGACTGTGTACTAGTGATAGGACGAGTTTTAAATCTTGGGAGGGTGTTATAGTGGTACAGGTGGCACATCCCTTACCTGAAATGCTTGGGACCAGAAGTCCTTCAGTTTTTTTACTTTTTTTTTGTTTTGGGATGTTTGCATAATCATGATGAGATATCTTGAAAATGGGACCCAAGTCTAAACTCAGAATTAATTTCTATTTCATTGTATATAATCTATCTCCAGCTGGTAATTTATCCAATATTTTTAGTACTTCTGTGTTGCGACTGACATTCAAATGGTGTCAGGTGTGGGCTTTTCCACTTGTGGCTCGAACAGTTGCTCAAAAGTTTTCAGATTTTAGAACATTTCAGATTTTAGGTTTTCATATCAGGGATCCTCAATCAAACGGTTTAGAAAAATAAAATATATATTTAAAGAGAGATCTGGGCATGGTGGAGCATGCCTGTAATCCCAGCACTCAGGAGGCTGGGGCAGGAGGATCACCATGAATTTAAGGCCAGCCTGGGCTACATAGCAAGTTCAAGGCCAGCCTGAACTATATAGCAAGACCCTGTCTTATAATAATAATAATAAAATGAAGCAAAAAAACTAAAGAGAAAATGTTTAAGGAATGGGTTCTAACAGTGAATTCAGAAGAGGAAATACTGGTGTTCATTATACTTATTGCCCCACAGTCCCCCAATCTTCTGTAGATTTGAAATCTTTCAAAAGTTTTTGGAGGGATTATTGGAGCCTTGAGAGTATTGGGGAAAGTTATTAATAAGTTGACAGTTTTAAAGTTACAAGCCAAGTCTAGTGGTGAATACCTACAATTCTTGCATTCTGAGAAGCTGAGACAGGAAGATCACAAGTTTGAGCCCAGCCTACAGACTTGGTAGAAAGCTGTCTTAGAATAACAAAACTGAGAAATGGCTGAGCGTGGAGCTCAGTGTGGAGGCCCTTGTTCAGTTCTCAGTGTGTGCACACACAGATGCACACACACTTATAAAGGTTCAGACGGTGTAAAATTTCAGAGGTTAAAATGAAAAAAATTAAGCATATTCATGTTTTTAGGATTGGTAATAAATTTTAATTATGCTCTCTACTTTTATGGTATTATTTTCATTTGATATATGAACCAAAATTTAAGGTAGCATTGATGTTTTGCTTGAGACTACATTAGATAATAGAGTTCTAGATTATTATGACATTGTCCTTGATGATAATTTGGAGGTAGTGTTGTTAAAGAAAATAGTTTCCAATGAGTATGCATATAGTTAACTAGATAAAAGGGATCTGTGTCTTTCACCAACTGAAAAAATTATATATCACATATAGCTTACAGACAGGCATAGTATATTAAAACTAAATCAAGCAGACCAATGTATATAAATCATAGGGAAAGGGGCTGGGGATTTAGCTCAGCGGCAAAAGTGCCTGCTTGGCCAGCGCAAGGTCATGAGTTCGGTTCCTGGTTCCGGAGAAAAACAAAAACAAACAAACAAACAAACAAACAAAAATCATAGGGAAAGTTGAAGAGGTTTATATAATTTATAGACCCCATTTTAGCCAAGAATAGTAAAACAAATTGTATTGTTCTGTACAGTGATTGGATTATCTTTGAAGAGAGAAATTATCTTACGATGAATACTGTGTAATAAAGTGTACTTTATGCAGAATAAAATACAATTCTACCAATATCTTATTATTGGTAGACAGTATCACTTCATAGGAAAAACTTTTAGTACACTTGTGAAACTATATAATCCAATAATTCATTTAAGTAAGACTATTTGGTAAAATATTAGGAAATAAAATGCAGTACTATTAAACATTTCATATATAAGGACAAGAAGAAGTTATCTGTAACACATGGTTCTATCAACATTAGAACCAACATTAGAACAACATTTTACTGAAGCAGTTAACTACTTTAAAATGTTAGGAAAAATTATGATCCTAAAATTTTCAGAAAATACATTGGGCAGAATTTAATATCCACTCATGATCAAGTCTTGTTTACCAAACTAGGAATTTAAGCAACTATTCTTAATTTGATAGTGTAAATTATACTTATTAAAGAACTATCCAAAATTATTCTTAGAAGTGAGAATTTTAAAACCTTGCCTTTTATTAAAGTAAGGAGTAACAGAGGTATCTGCCGTCACAAGTGCCGCTCAGCTTTGTGTTGAAGGCCAGCTGATGCATAGAGTGTGAAAATTGGCAGACGTTGTCACTGTACAAGCAGCGTGGTTTCCTACCTGGAAAACCTGAGAATATATGCAAACTCTCAGACCTAATGGTAGTTGAGCAACGTACTAAAGAAAAGAGTCAGCATGTAAGAACCAGTAATGCTTCCACACACAGCCAGTAACCAGCTAGAGAGTGTAATAATGACGTCATTTATGGTACCAAAGACCACAGAGCACCTAGGAATGTACATAACAAAAGCTACACAAAACCTTGTAGAGAAATTGTAAAACATTACGGAAAGATGTTTTAAATCCCTAAGTAAATGAAAAAGTATCCTCTTTTTCATGAGTGGGAAGACTCATAGAGGTTAGTTTTCTCCAAAATTAATTGATAAATTTAATATAACTAATCCAAATTTTAAAAGAACTTTTAAAAATGGAACATGACAAACTTATTTCTAAATTTGTATAGAAAAACAAAAGTCTAAGTGTAATAAAGACAGTACTACAAGTAAAAACAAAAAGGGATAAGTCTAACCAGACAGTAAACTTACAAGAATTCAGATAGTCAGATAGCAAGCTGTAGTACAGCTGCATGATATTGGTGGAGAAATTCATAGTGATCAGTAAACAGAGTTCAGAAAGTCCAAGAAAAGGTCCACTCTTTGTGGGAAACTGACATCTGACAGAATAAGCACTACAAATCATTGGAGAAAAGTAATAGTTTTGCTAAGTAGTGCTGTTAAATAAAATACAAAATCAGATTTCAGTTTGGACACAAAATTTGATTCCAGTGTCTGACAGTATTCACAAAGCAATTTCAGAAGCACATAGATAACTTGACGAAAGTAAAGGTAAATATTTTTGTGATCCCAGCAAAGAGAATGATTTCATAAATAAAATACAAAAAGCACAGATCATATGAGCATAATGGCATATTTGAAGCTTTCAATACTAAAAGTATTATGGCTGAGTGGTAGGATGCTTGCCTACCATATACAAAGCCCTGGGGTTGATCGCAGCACTGAAAATTAATTCATTGTAAAAACAGCTTTACAGTCTAGAAAGATAATAGGAAAGAAGCAGCAGTCTGAAAGTGGACATACGCAACATATAACAAGGACTCATATTTAGAATATCTGAAGAATTTCTCCAGTGGGAAAAAGATAAAGAAGCTCAGATAGTTAAAGCTTAGAAACAGACTTCTTATAATTTTAGAATTGGAAATTGAAGACATACCACTTCATTCTCATTATTCAGATTGAAAATAATTAAAATATCTGCTGTCATCAGATTTAGAGATGTGGGAAATGAATTTGTATTAAGAGTTATACACCATGAATTTAAATGAATAATACACCATGAATTGGAGTGATACTGTTTTAGCCCCTTAGGAAGGTAATTTGACATATTCTAGTAAAAGTGAAAAACTGAAGACCATGTTCTCTACAACCAGTGGTTCTACTTCTGTACATGTACTGTAGAGCAACTCTTCACATGTGCATAGGAAAATAGGATGTTCTTGACAACATTGTATCTTACAGTGAAAAACTGAAAGAACCTAATGGTCTAGCCCAGCGTGGTGGTGTGTGCCTGTAATCCCAGCACTCAGGAGGCTGAGACAGGAGGATTGCTACAAGTTTGAGGCCAGCCTGCACTGTATCGTGAGACTCTTTCTCAAAAAGACAGCCAAAACAAACAAACAAACAAAATCAAGGTGTATAGGCCCCTTAAGGGGAAACTTGTGTGGTTTGGTTTTTGGTTTTAGGTTTTGTTT